AAATAAAGGAACTGTACTAGACTGGACTGTTTCATCGTTGTTCTTGGGCTGGGCCTGACATCATGCCATCTAATTCTAAAGAGGGTCTCTGCTTAACAACCACAATTGGGACTGGAATTTAGGTTGCTAAGTGACGCAGTTGTTAAGTGGATCATAACGTGATTGGACCCAATTTTACAATCTTTTTTGCAGTGGTCATTAAGTGAATCACATGGTCGTTAAGTGATTCACATGGTTCCTCATTGACTTTGCTTGCCAGAAGCTGGCTGGGAAGGTTGCAAATGGCAATCACGTGACCCCAGGACACTGCAACTGTCATAAGTGCAAGCTGGTTGCCAAGCGCCCAGATTGCAATCATGTGAACATGGGGATGCTGTGATGGTTGTAACTTCGGGCACCAGTTGAAAGTAACTTTTGTAGCACCATCATAACTTTGAACAGTTGCTAAGCAAATGGTTGTTAAGTGAGTACTACATGTATTATGTTTTGGGAAGGACTATTGAGTTATATTCATAACCAACAAAAATACTCAAATTCTACCTAAAAACAAGTTGTACTGTAGATTTTTTTTAAAAAAATAGAATTTAAAAGAGCATGGCAATACACACCACACATATTAATCACCCTATTCCCAATATGCAGAGCATAGAAAAGAGGAATAAAAAGTAATTAAAGGTATGACATAAGGGAACAGCTAAATAGAGTTTACATTAACATAATTTACTATACCTCTGCATACCTTTCTATTCTTTCAAACCATCCTTGCTTTCCCCATATTCATACACTGCTTCAAACTCTGTCTTTTGTTCATGTTCTCTGCCTCTTTTAATTTTAACCACTCCTCGTTCTCTTTGACTTATATTCTTTACAACTATATTTTTCTCTATATACACACTGAAACTTTTCTCCTCACTTGGCCAATAAAGTAATCTATCTATTCTTTTTCCCCCCATCTTTCTACAGCCTCTTTTACTTCATCACTACACCAAATACCCCTTTCCAAACTTCCTTTAGCATAATGCCACAACCTTCTGCGACATTCTGTAGTATAATTTTTTTTACACTATTTCAGGCTCTTCCACATCTTCTTTCCTTATGTCTACTTTCCATTCATTCTTATGGGAGTTTAGTCTATCTTCCAATGCTTTTTCATACAGGACTAACACATTCTTTTCTTGCAATCATTTTCCTTTCACTATGATTTTTTCACTACTTCTGTTTCCATTTTTTTCCTCCAAGATCCATTCTTGGCACCACCAGATAAAATCCCTGAAATACATTTTTTTATATTTTGGCAGTCCTTATGTTTCTAGAAAAGGATGTTAAGCCTGTAAATTTCCTTCTATTTTTAGGCACTGTATGTGTTTCTCATGCTAGCTAATGTGAGGCATGACATTTCAGTTTTGCAAATTATTTTACATTCAAAGTAACTGGGTGGTGTCTTTTACCTCAGTGAATTCCCAGATCACTGGACTGATTTTAAATTTTAAATTTGCCCAGATTCATCTCCTGAGGTTTCCAGAAAAGGATTTTATTGCACCATCAGTTTATCTCATTCACAGAATTTTACAGTACACAATTTCCAGACATTATCATTTTCCATTTGTAGTTCTTTTAAATTTTCCCAATACTTCTTCCATGCATGAAGGAAGGAATAACAGAATAACGGTATGGTATCTTTGAACTGATAGCATCAGTTCAAAGTTGTCTGTCTGAAAGTTGTCTACTTTCCAAACCATATCTTGTCCTATTCTCTCCATATCTTGTGTCACTGAACATTGGTAAAAATATAACCGAGCTAACCCAGCAATAAACCACATAAGTCAATTATAAAGTTTATTTAGAAGGGTCAACGTTTCTTGCAGGCTTCTTTCTAACAGACTCATATTTTTCTCCTTCCCCTTCTCTCATGGGAAACTCTCTCCACTTCTTTCATGAACCGAAGACACAACTCTTCTTGCCATGGCAAAGCCACACACTGGACGGCTACAGGGAGCCCAACAGCATCTTCCACAGCCTATAGGAGAAACACAAACAGTAAGACATTACTCAATGCATTCAGGAGGCTTCTCAACTGCATGTCAACCCTTGAATTCAATGTGACTTGAGGCTTACTGGAAAATAAGCAGATCTACCTTCCTCTGTCTAATGGGAGATACAGATCCATCATCCATCCATAACCAGTTGGCAGGTGAATACATGCTTACAAGGGCTATACTATTAGAAATTTTGAGATATATAACACAGGGTTGCCCATAAAACATAGATCCCAATGCTAAAGAATTCTAATAATCCTGGATGTTGCAGCAAGATCAAGAATATATACCCCAAGAATATATACCCTAGTTTTGCCAAGAGTGACTAGTCAAATTCTACCTAAAAACAAGTTGTACTGTAGATTTTTTTAAAAAAATAGAATTTAAAAGAGCATGGCAATACACACCACACACATTAAGT